ACTTTCAATACAGGCATTATTTTGTGGGGGAGTATGTGATATGAGAGGGATAATTTGCTGAAGTTGACAAATGTATGTGCTCCTCAGGTAGGAGGGGAATTCTCGAGTGCTGTAATGCCCCAAATGAAGCCCTTTGGCAGAATTGCTGTGTGTGGCAGTATCTCCTTGTACAATGACACAGTACCCCAGACTGGTATGTAAGTTAGTAAGTGAACTATTATGAGTTCCTCTTGGGATTGACTCAAGATTTTTATTTAAACAAAAACTGCTCATTTAAATATGATTCTTTGTTTTGCTATAAACAGGTTATTGTGACAAATAATTACCAACTTGGGTAACTCATTGGACTAAACTTATTTAAGCCAACCCCACACCTGATATAAATGGGAAATGGCTTGCTTTGTAAAAATATACAGTTTGATCTGACTAGGTTTTAGAAATAACATGAGGCAACTTAAGAGGACCCCAACTGCAGGTGCTTGTATTGCAGGTATATCAGTTAGTAAATTTTCAGTCTGAGGAGAAATGTTTTAAAAATAACATGCAAAACAATCTGCATTGGATCAGTAGTTGCTAGTCGCAAATACACTTGACAGGATAGTTTCTCAACAAATACAGGCCAACAATTTCTACAACTGATCCTCTGTGATCCAGACTTAAAAACTATACGTTGTAAGCTGGAGTACCAAACCTGGACCTCCTTATTGTGTACTTGACTGCTATTTTGTTTGCTGTTTTCATTGTCTTACTCCTGTATATTGCTATGGTATAATGGTACATTTTACAACAAACATGTACCTTTTAAAATGACCTTTTGTTGATGTTTTACAGCTAATGAATAACCTATGTTTCTCTACAAAAAAAGATACTCTATAGACTAACTCTACGTAAATGTATCTGTTGTCCTAGGGCCATACATTCATGCCCACATGATCTTCAAACAGCTGAAGATGGAAGGATTTCTTTGCCACAGATGGTCTTATAAGAATGAGGAATCCTTACGCAGGCTGTTGGCCTGGGTGACAGAGGCAAGCAAAATACAGTTCGCACACAGCACATTGTGCAGATGGACCACCAGCATCAGCGCTATTCCCATCACCAGCATTTCCCACTGCAGCA